GCCTGTTTTCCTCCCAGTTGGTTTCACAGAGGCAGTTTGCTGAATTAAAGCTTCTAATTAGAGTATTCTTTCCAAATGGAGTGTTTAAAGCCTGCTGTATCTTGGTGAAATCTGTGAAGACATCAAGTCTTACTGCCAGTGAAGCTTCCCTGCAGGACGTGTGCTTTTGCTTCATATTCCCTACTCTGAACCTGTGGAAAATGATAACAGCTGAGTAATTCTTGAAGATTTCCTCTGCGGTACCCTCCTCTGGAGTGAGGCGTGTGGATTTAGGAACTTCCAGGAGTTGCACAGCGAGATAGTTCGACCATTTTAATTGCCCTTAATTCTCCCTCTTAGGTTATTTTTTTTGACTAAGTTTTCTGGCTGACTTGGAAATCTACAGCAGAAAGGTGATGCCTGTGTTGGAAAGCAGTTTAAGCATGGCAAAACTAGTCTACTTGACTCGCTAATGATCAAAACTCCCTTTCTAAACTGCTCTGGCAGGCTGCCACTTATAGACTTATCATTATCTATAATTAGCGTGCCTGTACAGGAGAATCTAATCACCTTGAACAGATAAGTGTTTTCAAGGAGATTAGAGAGGATCTTTAGGTAAGTATTAATTCATCAAAGATTGGCATTGGCTCTTGTGATCGATGCTCCAGATGAGTGGTGTCTTCTCCAAGCAGCTTTCTCATATTTCGAGGAGCTCGAGTTTCATGTTGCCTCCTCTGTGGTCCATAGCCCGTTGTTCGTGGGTTAGGTGTCTGAAGAGCCTTCAGCAGTACTTTTTGTGGTCACAGGACGTAATAGTTAAAGCAGTGCCAAATGGAGAAGGAAGAAACATTCCATGCTGCGTGTGATTTGGTCGTTGTCGTGACATGAAGGGCTTCTCACCAGAAAGCAGCTTTAGCTCCCCTTGCCAGGTCTGCTCTTAGAGGAATGATGGGTGCCTGGGGCAGTTTAGCTGCCTTGTCTGCATTATCCTGCTAAGGTGGAGGGGATGGGCAGCTCAGTTCTCTGGAAAAGCTGTGTTTCCCAGAGCAGCATTCTTCACTAGCTTTGTTTATCCAGCAGTTAACTCTTGGTTAGCATTGTAAGGTCTTGAGTACAACCCGGAGGGTTTTTTTTTTACTGCTTCTTGTTCTGAGACTCCAGCTGAACGCTGAGGCGGTAAGTTCAGGCAGGAGCTTGAAAACCGCTGCTGATACTAGAGTCACGGAGGAATTGAGGGCTTCCAGAAGAGGCCTCTGGGAGCCCCTAGTCCGACTGCTGCTCAACATGGGGGCCCCCCGATGAGGTTGCTCAGGACCTTGAGCTGCTGAGGTTTGAGTGTCTCCAAGATGTGAGATTACACAGCCTCTCCAGGCCCCTCTTCCAGTGTTGGACCACCCTTGGGGGAAAAATGTTTCCTTATATTTAGTTTGTACATAATAAAATGAGGAGAGAGAAATACTCTCCTAGAATGATTTTTATAACAGCTTGTCCCTCTGCAGGCATAGAAGTCGCTGACTGTCCCTGACTATTTGTCATCCTGGGGGTGCTGGAGCCTGCAGGTTTTAAGGACGGCCCTGTAGCTGCTTAGTGACTTTGAGCTACTTGTTTTTAAACAGCGTTTTAATAATTCGTGTTCCCAGTCATCTTGTTTTCACACAATACTCGCTTTATCCATATGGTGCTTTGCTGTTGATTATTGTTCATCGTTTGCCCATTTTTGAGGAAACTCCTTTTCTGTGCTTTGTAACTGGGGATGCGGTGCTTGCATGGCTCCATCGAGGAGCGGCACGTCAGAGCAGCACTTGAGTGCTGCCGTGGTGCGAGATGAGCGATGCTCTTTGCTGGGCTGCTTGTGGCAGGCTTGATTGCTCTGCTCCCAGTTTAGTGCTGCGGTGGGGGAGCTGGGCTCACCTGACTCCAAACAGCAACTGCTGCTGACACTGCCGGAGAGCATGAGAAAGAGATCTTAGTCCTTACGGGTGTTTTCATCATAGCCTGATGATTAGTGCCATATCAGGATTTTTATATCTGTTCCTTCGGTTGTAGTATTCTTCCCGGTTCTATTTGCTGGTTGCAAACTGCCAACAAGAGCTATGAACTATCTTGATACTTTTATTTCTACCCATATAATCTTAAATTGAGTATGCTGGCCCAAATGCTTCGTTTGATGAAACTGTAGCAGAAGTAACTGGTTTGTCTTGTGCAGAACTAAATTTTGAGAAGCGCCATGCGTTCTGGTGTTGAGCGGTGTGACTGCAGCCTGTATTGCTGTCTCAAGGTCGATTGCATGGTGAACTTTCAGGTAGTGACACTCGCTGCAATTTTAGTTCCTGGAGCTGTTTGCAGGCACGGAGCATATTTATGGGCTCAGCTGCTTGGATACTTATGGGAGAGTAAGAAGCCTGTCGCCAATTTCTGGGCTCAATTGTTCCCGCTTTTGTTGCTGGAGAACACGTAGGTGTAGTTACACCCTTGCTGTAGCCTTCCTCTGTTGTCTTCTGCAAGAGCAGGGGAAGGCACTGCTCCAGTCCTGCGTTTCTCCCACACGTTGCTCGTAGCTGCTGCTCAGCTCTGCCTTTTGCAGCTGAGGGCTTGTGTGGGCTGGCTGCTGCTCCATGACAGCAGTGGCTTTGCTCACCTCTGAGAAATTGTTGTCAGCCTTCAGGTTGGTCTTCTGTCAGTGCGTGCTGCTGGGCACGCTCGAGGAGCGATACGGCCGTCTCTTCTGGTCCAGGCGCACAGAGGTGACTGGCATCACCTGCCTTTTGGCTGTAGCTCCTATGCCTGTCTTTTTCCAGAGTAATATGTATTCAGTTCTGACTTCTTTTGTTCCAGTTACAGGTTTAAATTTGTGCTTGCATGGTCTGTCATCCATCCTCTGTACCCACAGTGAGTCAGTGGTGAAGGAGTTGGTCTTCCTTGTAAGAAGTAATGTGAGAAACCTGCTGTGTTTTCCCTTGCAGTATCCCTTTTAACCTACCTGATTTCCTCCCGAAGAGGAGTTTTCAATCAGTGAACCATGCAGTGTTTAGAGCACTGTAACTCGCTTCTGAATGACTTGACTTTCATTATCTGTAGGTTGATTGTTATGTTGCAGCAAGTCAGACTGTTGAGCTTCTTTTCTGTATTGTTTTGTGCTTATGTATAAATTGCATTGTAGCTCGGTAACTTACTCGGGTAATGTAGGTAAGTTAAGTATGCAGTAATCTCATAGCCCTTTGCTTCTCGTAGGTCTCTTCAGCGCTAGTGCTGATGGCCAACAACTCAGGTCGTCACCCTGAAATGTGAGTTGTCCCAGCACGCTATCTGGAGGGCGGGCAGCTCGCTGTGCTGTAACATCCTGGAGATATGTCCCCTAAATAGGATGGTGCTTCAAAACTCGAGCTAGCTGGAGGTGTTAAATTTCCCCTCAGGTCTTCATTATGCCATTCAATTATTTTAATCGTTCCTAAGGCACTTTGGCAGGGATCTTTCTACATTTTATATCAGCCTTTGTTTGGTTTCAATCAAAAAGGTTGTTTAATAATTAATTACTTAATATTCCTCTGTCTGACAACTGCAGGCTGGGCAGATGGAGTTAAAGCTGGGGGATAACAAAGCTGGATGTGCTTGTTGCGGTTGGGTCAGCGATTGCTGACTCACACAGGCATGTGTTCGAGGATGCCAGCGCTGAGCCTTCAGGCTATGTACGAATCAACTTCAGAATTAAAGATGCAAATTGAAAGCATGCTACTAAGGGCCAGTGGCGTGATTCGATTGGCAGTGGCAGCCCAGGGATAAAAGCAGAACATACCTCCTCCTTGGTCCCGTTCCAGGCGCTTACACGATTCACTTCACTTTTGCAAGCACGTGCTCCTGGGCGTACTGGGTTGAAACATGGCTTGTTGCTCTCGGTTGTCCTGGCCTCCTCCTGTCACCAGGTGATGTTGCTCATAACTGTATGACATCGCTGAACTGCTGGGTTTGTTACTGCTTGCAAGTTAGGTCATGCAGTTCACAGTGCTTACATGGACAGCGATGAAATTCTTGCAGTGTAAGTGGTGTTGACTGGCTTGCATGTGTGTTGGAAACGAGTTGTCGTGCGTGTTTGCCCTGCATCCAGCAGTCCTTCCTTTCACACTAATTTGGGCTGAACTGTTTTTCTTTTCTGTTTTGGTTTTTTTTTTATCTTTTATCTAACTCCTCAAGGATATTTCTGCTTTGAAATCATGACCGGATAGATGTATGTCCCTACAGTGACTCGGGGAGGTCCTTCATTCCCTAAAAATAGTCTTAATTCTCCAAATCTTTCTAGAAGAGCAGCACTGTCTGGGCACACGCAGCAGTTTAAAGCGGCTTCTGCAATGCACGTGAAGATAAATATGGTGCAGTGGGAGTCTGTGCCTTTCTCTTTTCCTTCTTTAACACAAAGCAGTGATTCCTAATCTGTTATTAATAGCTAGAGCAGGTTTCTGCTAAGCACTTTATAAGGAACAGAGCAGGAAAATGTCCTTCACACCTACTGCTTAAGTATTACTGCTGTATGCATAAGACCTTCTTACTTTAGGTTTGTTGATCGGTACAGATACCTAAACAACGCAGCTGCGTAGTCTTTCAGAGAACAGCAAACTGTTTCTTTCCATGGCATAGCTGTCGGATGGGATAACAGGGGCTTGCAGTAATAACCCTGGCCTGGCAGTGAAGCTCCTTTGGGAAGACGCTTGACCTCCTGTTGCCGGGGCATGCATTCAGGTTACTTGCTTCATTTCTTCAGGGATGCTCCCTATGGCCTTCAGTGACGACGGGCTGTAAGTGCAGCCGTGTTTTCAGAAGTGCGGCATCGGGCGCTTCCCGGCTGACTTGATGTTTTGTGCCTGTCACTCATCCGAACACAGAATTAGACTATTTGTCACAGCAGAAAATATCCATGGCAACTAATTTGCCAGTTTGGTGAATCTTCGTGATTTTTGAAGTTTCTGTTCTTCTGTGAAATGCACAGGGGTGGTTCCACAAACTTTTTTTTTCAGGTCTTCTGCAGCTGTCAGGAGTGATGGCTCTTCTTGGAAACGTGTGAAAAATAGACCGGTCCCAGTTCAGAAGACAGGGTGAGTTTGGGTGTATTTGGCTCCAGAATGGACACGGGTGACTGAGATGTGCCCTGTATCTCCAGATGGACTGTGCATGAGTGGGGATTACATGATTAAATGCACCTTTTTGTCTTAAAATTGTGGAGATGATGTGCAGCAGGTGGGGGTGCCACCTGTGCCTGCAGCTTGTTAAGAGTTAATGAAGTTAAGTTTCAGCCTTTAGTTTGAAGTCCTTTTTGGAGGCATCCTGGTGCAAGTGCTTGGGCGGTGCTGCATGGCTAGCTGTGGGGGTGTGTACTTCAGAAACCCCATCCTTTATTTTGAAAAGACCAAGACCTTCCAGCTTTGCTGTTCCCAAGTGTGTGTTACTGTGACTGATGCTGGATGCTGATTATTCGCCGTTTATTGTTCCCGAGTTACCACTGGGGTGTTCCCCAGCAGAGCTTGTGGAGCAAAAACTACTACAGGTTTATAGTGTGTGGTCAGGTGAAACTAATACGTGGCTTTATTTTATCCAAGCAGTTTTTCCTTTCCTTGTCAGTTGGGTCTCTCCGTGGTCTGTGTTGGTGAGAGACTGCTGCAGGCTCCCGAGCTTTGAATCACTCCTGGGATGTAATTTTTATACGCAGGAGGGAAGAGAGTACTCAAACCAAAAGTAATTTTGCAATGGTACAAAAGGTGACAGTCATCTTAATCCTGTATAATTTGTATTAAGCATGCACGGCATGCTATCGGCTGACACTGCTGAATTGTATGGTACTTTCAGTGTCTTGCAACAGCGTGTAGGACCCTCTTTTGAAGCTAGTGTAATGTTGGTGCTCACAGTAGCCATATCCTGTCAAGGACTGATTAGGAGTACTTTGCAGCTTGATATTTGTTAGTGTGTAGTGTTTGAATGTAGAATTGGACTTTTTTTTTTCGTAGATATGATAAGATTACACTGCATTAGTCCCAGTATTTGCTTTATAATGTCTTTCTTAATGGGTGGGTGCACTCGCAGCCAGTCTGTGGCTGATACCAAATGGAGCAGAGAGGTTGCTACGTCAGAAGGCAGGTCTGGATTTCAGAGGGACCACGGCAGGCTGGAGAAACAGGATGATGGGAATCTTGTGGCGTTCAGTAAAGGTGAACGCGAGCCCTGCCCTGGGGTAGGGCTAGAAAGCAGCTTTGCAGAAGAGCCCCTGGGGGGTCCGGGTGGACAACAAGGTGACCAGGAGCCGTCAGAGGTCAGCTGTCTCTTTGGCTGTGTTAGCAGAAGTGCAGCCAGCATGTTGAGGGAAGGGACCATCCCCTCTGCTCAGTACTGGGGAGGCCCGTCTCGGCTCTGGGTCCAGTTTGGGGATCCCCAGGACGAGGCTGGAGTGGTGGAGGGATGTGGATGTGCTCAGCCTGGAGCGGAGGAGGAGGAGGGGAGACCTAATTGCTGCCCACAGCTATGTGATGGGAGGGTGCAGAGAGGACAGAGCCTGGCTCTGCTCATGACAGGATGAGGCAATGGGCTGGTACCAGAGCGTGGGAAATCCTATGTGAACACAAGGAAACATGTTTTAATTGGGAGTGGGGGCCAAATACTGGGATAGGGGTCTGGAGAGGTGGAGGAAACTCTTGACTATATTCAAGCTGTGGCTAGACAAGGTCCTGAGCTACCTGATCTGGTTGCTTCTGCTCAGAGCAGGAGATTGGACCTGAAGCCTCCCAAGGTGCCTTCCAGATTCAGTTAATATACCATTCTGTCATTATTTGGTTTCTGACACTTAAAACTTGGTAAGTTTGCCTTCAGCTCTCCGGATACTGATGGAGGATGAAGAAAAGCCACGTCATGTCTATGGCTTGCCCTGGCAGTGCTGGGGGAGCACCGGTGATTCCTGTGTCTGGACACTTCAGGCTGTTTCATAGACTCCCCCACTTCCATGGCACCCCGCATTGTTCCTGCTAGAGGGGGTTCACAGCATCAGACCCTCGCTCTTCCCCCCCCCCCCCCCGCTCTCTCTCCCCCCCCCACACTGTGCCG